TCGGGTAATGGCTCCGCGCGGAGATATGACGTTCCAAAACGACATAACTCCGCGCGGAGACATGACGTTCCAAAACGACATAACTCCGCGCGGAGATATGACGTTCCAAATCATCACGTTTTTTTTCAAAATCGGGGTCGGGTCAAAAATCAAAACTTTTTCGATGATTTTTTTAACATCTCCGGTAAATATTGTCTGATTTCGAAATGTTATACCTTTCTAATTCGTACGGATTCCTACTTTTAATTGGCATTCAAAGAAATTCAATATCTATGGGTAAAACAAAATGACAGACCAAAAATCGGCTTGTTTTCAAAATCAACCGTTTTGGATGATTTTTTGGCATATCTTGTCCAAATAATGTTAGATTTTGGAATTTTATACCATTTTGAGCTCGTAAGGATCAGTACTATCGATTGGCAACAAAAAAAATAAAAATCTAAATTTTGACCAAAATCGACCAAAAAGCAAGGGGTTACATAACTTTTTTTTCAAAAACGGGGTCGGGTCAAAAATCGAAACTTTTTCGATGATTTTTTTTTAACATCTCCGGTAAATATTGTCTGATTTCGAAATGTTACACCTTTTTTAATTCGTACGGATCCCTACTATTAATTGGCATTCAACGAAATTCAATATCTATGGGTAAAAAAAATGATTGACCAAAAACCAACATGTTTTCAAAATCAACCTTTTTTGATGAATTTTTGGCATATCTCGGCCAAATAATGTCAGATTTTGGAATTTTATACCTTTTCAAATTCGTACAGATCCCTACTATAAAATGGCATTTAAAGAAATTCAATATCAATGGGCTACAAAAAATGATTGACAAAAAACTGATTCGTTTTCAAAATGAACCTTTTTTGATGATTTTCCAAAATTTTGACCCAAATCGACAAAATGATAAGGGGTTACATCACGCTTTTTTTTTTTAAATAGAGGTCGGTGCATAAATCGAAACTTTTCGATGATTTTTTTTTAATATCTCGGGTAATAGCTCCGCGGGGAGATATGACGTTCCAAAACGACATAACTCCGCGCGGAGATATGACGTTCCAAAACGACATAACTCCGCGCCGAGATATGACGTTCCAAAACGACATAACTCCGCGCGGAGATATGACGTTCCAAAACGACATAACTCCGCGCGGAGATATGACGTTCCATAACGACATAACTCCGCGAATTTTTTTCCAAAATCGGGGTCGGGTCAAAAATCAAAACTTTTTCGATGATTTTTTTTTAACATCTCCGGTAAATATTGTCTGATTTCGAAATGTTACACCTTTTTTAATTCGTACGGATCCCTACTATTAATTGGCATTCAACGAAATTCAATATCTATGGGTAAAAAAAAATGATTGACCAAAAACCGGCGCGTTTTCAAAATCAACCTTTTTTGATGATTTTTTGGCATATCTCGTCCAAATAATGTTAGATTTTGGAATTTTATACCATTTTGAGCTCGTAAGGTTCAGTACTATCGATTGGCATCAACAAAATAAAAATCAAAATTTTGACCAAAATCGAACAAAAAGCAAGGGGTTACATCACGTTTTTTTTCAAAATCGGGCTCGGATCAAAAATCAAAACTTTTTCCATGATTTTTTTTTGAATATCTGCGGTAAATATCGTCTGATTTCGAAATGTTACACCTTTTTTAATTCGTACGGATCCCTACTATTAATTGACATTCAACGAAATTCAATATCTATGAGTAAAACAAAATGATTGACCAAAAACCGGCTCGTTTTCAAAATCAACCTTATCTGATGATTTTTTGGCATATCTCGTCCAAATAATGTTAGATTTTGGAATTTTATAACATTTTGAGCTCGTCAGGATCAGTACTATCGATTGGCATCAACAAAATAAAAATCTAAATTTTGACCAAAATCGAACAAAAAGCAAGGGGTTACATCACTTTTTTTTTCAAAAACGGGCTCGGGTCAAAAATCAAAACTTTTTCGATGATTTTTTTAACATCTCCGGTAAATATTGTCTGATTTCGAAATGTTACACCTTTTTCAATTCGTACGGATCCCTACTATAAATTTGCATTCAAAGAAATTTAATATCTATGGGTAAAAAAATTGATTGACCAAAAACCAACTCGTTTTCAAAATCAACATTTTTTGATGAATTTTTTTCATATCTCGGCCACATAATGTCAGATTTTGGAATTTTATACCATTTTGAGCTCGTAAGGATCAGTACTATCGATTGGCATCAACAAAATAAAAATCTGAATTTTGACCAAAATCGACCAAAAATCGGGGTCGGGTCAAAAATCAAAACTTTTTCGATGTTTTTTCTTGAATATCTGCGGTAAATATCGTCTGATTTCGAAATGTTACACCTTTTTCAATTCGTACGGATCCCTACTATAAATTGGCATTCAAAGAAATTCAATATCTATGGGTAAAAAAAAATGATTGACCAAAAACCAACTCGTTTTCAAAATCAACCTAGTTTGTTGATTTTTTGGCATATCTCGGCTAAATAGTGTCAGATTTTGAAGTGTTATACCTTTTTAAATTCGTACTGATCCCTACTATAAAATGGCATTTAAAGAAATTCAATATCAATGGGCTACAAAAAATGATTGACAAAAAACTGATTCGTTTTCAAAATCAACCTTTTTTGATGATTTTCCAAAATTTTGACCCAAATCGACAAAATGACAAGGGGCTACATCACGCTTTTTTTTCTAAATAGAGGTCGGTGCATAAATCGAAACTTTTCGATGATTTTTTTTTTAATATCTCGGGTAATAGCTCCGCGAGGAGATATGACGTTCCAAAACGACATAACTCCGCGCGGAGATATAACGTTCCAAAACGACATAACTCCGCGCGGAGATATGACGTTCCAAAACGACATAACTCCGCGCGGAGATATGACGTTCCAAATCATCACTTTTTTTTTTCAAAAACGGGCTCGGGTCAAAAATCAAATCTTTTTCGATGTTTTTTCTTGAAAATCTGCGGTAAATATCGTCTGATTTCGAAATGTTACACCTTTTTCAATTCGTACGGATCCCTACTATAAAATGGCATTTAAAGAAATTCAATATCAATGGGCTACAAAAAATGATTGACAAAAAACTGTCTCGTTTTCAAAATCAACCTTTTTTGATGAATTTTTGGCATATTTCGGCCAAATAATGTCAGATTTTGGAATTGTATACCACTTTGAGCTCTTAAGGATCAGTACTATCGATTTGCATCAAAAAAATAAAAATCTAAATTTTGACCAAAATCGAACAAAAAGCAAGGGGTTACAATCACGTTTTTATTCAAAATCGGGGTCGGGTCAAAAATCAAAACTTTTCGATGTTTTTTCTTGAATATCTGCGGTAAATATCGTCTGATTTCGAAATATTACACATTTTTCAACTCTTACGGATCCCTACTATAATTTGGCATTCAAAGAAATTCAATATCAATGGGCTACAAAAAATGATTGACAAAAAACTGTCTCGTTTTCAAAATCAACCTTTTTTGATGAATTTTTGGCTTATTTCGGCCAAATAATGTCAGATTTTGGAATTTTATACCATTTTGATCTCGTAAGGATCAGTACTATCGATTGCCATCAAATAAATAAAAATCTAAATTTTGACCAAAATCGATTAAAGAGCAAGGGGTTACTTAAAAAACTGATTCGTTTTCAAAATCAACCTAGTTTGTTGATTTTTTGGCATATCTCGGCTAAATAGTGTCAGATTTTGAAGTGTTATACCTTTTTAAATTCGTACTGATCCCTACTATAAAATGGCATTTAAAGAAATTCAATATCAATGGGCTACAAAAAAATGATTGACAAAAAACTGATTCGTTTTCAAAATCAACCTTTTTTGATGATTTTCCAAAATTTTTACCCAAATCGACAAAATGACAAGGGGTTTTTTTTAAAAAAGAAGTCGGTGCATAAATCGAAACTTTTCGATGATTTTTTTTTTTTAATATCTCGGGTAATAGCTCCGCGGGGAGATATGACGTTCCAAAACGACATAACTCCGCGCGGAGATATGACGTTCCAAAACGACATAGCTCCGCGCGGAGATATGACGTTCCAAAACGACATAACTCCGCGCGGAGATATGACGTTCCAAAACGACATAACTCCGCGCGGAGATATGACGTTCCAAAACGACATAACTCCGCGCGGAGATATGACGTTCCAAAACGACATAACTCCGCGCGGAGATATGACGTTCCAAAACGACATAACTCCGCGCGGAGATATGACGTTCCAAAACGACATAACTCCGCGCGGAGATATGACGTTCCAAAACGACATAACTCCGCGCGGAGATATGACGTTCCAAAACGACATAACTCCGCGCGGAGATATGACGTTCCAAATCATCACGTTTTTTTTCAAAATCGGGGTCGGGTCAAAAATCAAAACTTTTTCGATGATTTTTTTAACATCTCCGGTAAATATTGTCTGATTTCGAAATGTTATACCTTTCTAATTCGTACGGATTCCTACTTTTAATTGGCATTCAAAGAAATTCAATATCTATGGGTAAAACAAAATGACAGACCAAAAATCGGCTTGTTTTCAAAATCAACCTTTTTGGATGATTTTTTGGCATATCTCGGCCAAATAATGTCAGATTTTGGAATTTTATACCATTTTGATCTCGTAAGGATCAGTACTATTGAATTCATAGAAATTCAATATCTATGGGTAAAAAAATTGATTGACCAAAAACCAACTCGTTTTCAAAATCAACCTTTTTTGATGAATTTTTGGCATATCTCGGACAAATAATGTCGGATTTTGGAATTTTATACCATTTTGAGCTCGTAAGGATCAGTACTATCGATTGGCATCAACAAAATAAAAATCTAAATTTTGACCAAAATCGAACAAAAAACATCACGTTTCTTTTTCAAAATCAATTAGTTTTAACGTTATTGCCCGCACGCCACAAACGCTACACATTATGCCCAACCCCTTCATATTATATGGTGAATACTCACGCAACAATAACATCTGGATCCTCCCACCATTTTTTCTGCGTGGGCGCCAAACGCAGACTAACCTGACGCCAGTGATTCTTGTGGACTACCTGGAATCGGTAGATAGGGAATAGGTAAATTCCATTCTTAAAGTTCTTGTACATTTGAGGAACTCTTACCTTATACTTCCTAGGATCGTAGGAATTTTGTTCCTTCTCTGTAAAGACCAGACGAGCCATGTCATTTGCCCCTTGGCACTAAGTGTCTAAGATAATTATGTAACTATATAGATATATAAATATGTATATATATATATATATATATATATATATATGTATTTAAGGAGTGATATTTAATTGTGTGTGTATGTATGTATTACTTCTACTGTAAACAGAAGATTTAGTTTGACACATCTGCAAAAGATGACCATGTTTTCTAATCAATTATTTATACAACAAAATTTCTCTGTCAGAAAATTGTTTGAATAGACTTTCGATAAGTATTCAACGAAGGGAGCTTAAAAGATTGATTCAACAAACTGAATGCTTATGTCTAAGCTTGGGTATCGATATTTATCGATTTGAGTAACAATCGTAACAGATTTAAAAAAAGCATTATGAACATTTGGAATATTTATATAAATAGACTCTCGATAGGTTATAAACGGTGGGAACTTAAAAGATGGCAACATTTATTTCGGAAAATCATATACAGCTCATGCGGATGTCTCAGTTTGGGTATCGATATTTATCGATTTGAGGAACAATCGTAAAAGATTTAATATGCTTAATAATAAAGTTTTGAGTAATTAATAAAAATTACATTAAGAAAAACATTATGAACATTATGAATATTGATTATACTTATTATTTTAATAGATGGCTTCGATTAATATTCACATATTTGATTCACATATTCGGAACAATAAGTAAATAATATTTAATTGAATCCAAAAACACGAAGTGCACTTATCAAATTATTATGCAAATATTTCTTATAGCTTAGTCAAGCTCTCCATTAACCTAACCAAGTATCCCACTTTACCCAAGTCTCTTAAGATATATTGTGAGTAATTATTAGCTATATAAATAGGTATTTATATGGCAATATAACAAATGCTTTTAGTCGGCGATTTTAATTTCAGGGCAAACACTTTGAAAAATGCTGATGAAATGTGAACTATATCCAGTATAAGATACCAAGTGGCCAACTATAACAATTGCATTGATTTGTTGTTATTATTGTTATACCCATTTAAAATAGGTGAGCTAGGGCATTATAGTTTCGTGGCAGCGTATGTATATACAATATACAATCTATACAATTTTTATATCGTTCGTCAGAGCGAAATGTTCTTTCAATTATCGATAAATTTCTTATGAAATACTTATATCGATAAGTTTACCAATATATCGGATATCAACATAATTTTAGACAGAAATGATCAAGAGTTAGATGCCATAAATGCATTCATGTACGATTATGCCCCCCGTCTCATTAAAATCGATTAATACCGAATTTGTATTGGTCTGTTGATTAGTTTTTAAAAAATTATAAGAGCGTAAGTTTTTAATAACTATTATTATACGAGGCTACATTTTTTAAGAACTTTTAAGCCAACCGATAAAATAACGATTAATATATATCGACAGCTTGTAAAATTTTAATCGATATCAATAAATATCGACATTCGGCCTGGTTGTTAAAGATTTAATCATGCTTCCTCTCGTTGCGAGTATATCACAGGGTACAGGGTATCTGCTAGTCGGCCAGCCTCAGCTGCTGAGCTCTTATTTGTTATTTCATGGTAGCCATGTGATTCGATTGATAGGCGAATTGATTGACCGAATCAAATGGGTTGCTTTGACGGTTGTCTCTTGCTGCTGGCTGCTGGCGTTTATCTTGTAACTTGTCAACCGCTCTGTAGCCAATTGTGTCTCCAAGCCGAGGGGGGCTGGCAATTGAAGGTCAAGGAGGGGGGCGTGGGTTTGTTTCAGAGCAAAGCCGGCCAGTTTCCGCATTGGCCGAGAACTGGCTTTGGCCTGATCCGATCAGAATGGGCGCTATAAAAGCTCAACGGCCACGGGCAGCTGTCAATTAGTTACGTTTGAAGCGTCTCGCCGATCACAGAAGCCAACATGAAGGTAAGCAGGAGCCGTTTTGGGCCCAACAAGAGCCGTATTTTAATCCGAATCCCACTTGCAGTTCGCCATTGTCGTAGTCTTGTTCGCTCTGGCCTGGGGTGCCCACGGCTCAGTGGTGCCGCTGCTGACCTCCGCTCATGGCTCCGCCGTGGTGCTGGGCGCTCCGGCCGTGGCCGGCTCCGTGGCCGTGCACGCCTCCGCGGTGCCCGCCGCTGTGCCCCTTGCCATTGCCCCAGCTGGACCCATTCTGGTGCAGTCAGCGGCCCATTCGATTGCCCATGCTGCTCCAGTTGTGGTTGCGGCTCCGGCGCCCGCTGTTGTGGCCGTTGCCGCTGCACCCGCCTCGTATGTGGCCAAGACGCGCGGTGCCGTGCATGTCGCCCCGCTGCCCGGACATGTCCAGAGCGCCGCCTCCGTCAACCTGGAGCCCGCACCAGGCACTTGGTAGAGATCACACTCTGGGATTACAATTGCAACAGCCCTGCCTTTGACCTTGCCATCGATTCGTTTTTAGTTTCCTTTGTTTTTTGTTTATTTCCCAAAAGGCTATCCCACGCACATCTTACTGCCATCTAAGTCAGGCTTCGCCTCTTATCAGCAGCTGCGCTTTGGCCAGCTCCTCTCCTACTCTACTTATTCTGGTCTTCTTTATGTACTTCTATTCCTTACGATCTGTTAACCAAATGATATCCTCACATGCACATGAAAATTTTGTTTCAAAATAAATATGTTTAAAATCAAAATAAATTTTTTACTCATGAAAAAGCAATTTTAAGAATGTCTGCACTTAAAATGCTCAAACAGTTTAAGCGCTGTATTTTTGGCATTTTTTTGCCAGTCGCAAAAGAAAAGATTTCTGGTATATAAACTGTTTTCTGTTCAAGGAGGAGTACATACATAAAAAGCAAATATAAAGGTATGTGTAAAATTCATCTATACATTTCTGGTTGCTATTCTCAATGCCTCTAGCTTGCATATTCGGTGAAAAATGCCCAAAAAACTACTGCTTGAAATTGATATTTATCGATTTATCGATCTGAGATGAAATAAAATATAACGCATTCTACCTTTTAAATTTATTTCATGAGGAACGTGCTCAGGTTTCGAAAAAGTCAAGTAGTCTGAATCTATAAATACTGTACGAAAGTTTCTGTGGCGAATTTTTGGGCTAGTCATCGATAATTATCGATTTTCTGGGCTAGTTTTCGATGACTTTAAATAAACTCAAACTTTGTGTGCTCTAGATGTATAAAAGTTGGGAGAGAGAGCAGGAAATGCTTATAATGTTCGATTTTTATATAAAATAGGGAACAGAAGAATGGACAGGCCTGGGAATAAATTTGCCCTTGGAACTATCGCGTTCCCAGAGCGTTCCCATTTCATCAACAACTTTTATCAATGGTCAGTGGCCACGGGGCAAACTTATGTTTACATAAAGAAAAACTCCATTTAGATTACATCAGTGCAATTAATCATTTGGACATATAGATCAACCGATTGCTAATAAAACGGTGTTAGCCACAGCTTCGAGCACAGCCTCGACCTCCCACGATTGAACTCAACCTGTCTGGTTGCCAACTCAACACTCTGCAGTTAAAAGCGAGAGTTACATGTGCTGAACTGGAGCAGGGCCAGTTGACCTTGATAGCCAGCACTTGCAATTGTTTAATATAGAAAAATTATGCCTTTTGTGTTGAGCTTGATATTGCCGCATGCTAATTCTGAACGACCTGTTCTTGGCACTTGAAAACCCACTGGCTGTTGGCCATAAATCTTGACTGTCCAGTTTGCAATTCTACACGTGCTGCCAGCTACCAGGTCTTGTCTATAACTGGAACTTAGCTGTAATTGATGACGCCCTCCAGTTGTCACAATATCAAGTTTATGTAACGGAATGTGATGAATCATTTGCTAAAGGGCTTAATCTATTGAATCGTAATTAAAGTCTTAAGGTACAGCACTTAGGCTTATTAAATGTAATAAGCTTAAATATTCTCGACTGTTGTGACAATAAACTGCATTCATTAAAATTGTTGACTATTCAGTTGGTTTAATAATTAAAATAGTATTACTAACATATGCTCATTGATGCAAGTGCATGTCAATTATAAGAAAGCTTTAACAGATTCATTAAGCTTTGTAAATAATTCAAATTTAAATCTGCCGCGTTGACCACCGCGAGCAGTAGTTTACTAGTTCGGGCAATACTATCGACATATCTATCGAGTTAATTTTCTACTTAACTTTCCAAAAAAGGATCGATACCAAACTGTCTGACGTAAGTATCGAACCTTAAGGTCAATAATCGATAATGTTAAGCGGCTCTGTAAGGTAACAGCCTGTTAAATTCAAAATTAGGCCAACTTGGCAATTCTTGTCAAAACTAAGTAAATGGTTTTGACAACAGGGTCTTACAATCACTTTACAGGATATTTAAAAAGAAAAATAGGTAAAACCAATTGTTTGAACTTTTGGTAAAGAGGACTGCAGCAGCGCAGTTGATGAGCGCCCACTGCTATTAACAGTTCACCATAATGTTAAGATCTTAAATGCGTTAAAAACATATGTTTTTACACCGCGAACGAAATTTGGTTATCAATTTTGCAAGTGCATTGTGTGTGGGGCTGCGCGCCCACAAAATAAAAAGGAAACTAAATTATGGCTAATAGATATAATGCAATGCCGGCTGGCATGGAGTCCGATGACGAAGAGCTGGAATGCATGTTCGCGCATTTGAAAATCAAACGACTCGAGGACATTACAACGGGTACGAAGAATTGTTTTTTGTGGGCTTAGAAGCTCCACATTGATTCGTGTAAATATAAATATAATTTCTTTCACCTTAGGCGCGGGCATCAATGGCGACTTTGACGCCACCTTGGACACAGAATTTCAAAAGTTCTTCAATGTATTTCGCGAGAAATGGAACATGCACAGCAAATGCAAATCGTCGCCGTATATGCGACAGGATCTGATCAATGCGCTAATGCGTCATCCGAATCCCATGCTGATGGCACTCAAAATCTTTGCCAATTGCCCCGACAGCAGCAATGTGAAGAACAAGAGCCTCTCACACTTTGTGCTGGACACGGTGTGCAAGCTCCAGGCGGATTTGCCGCATCTGAGCGAGCATTGCGATGACAACACCAGCATGATAGCCTTTCACTTTGTCAAGACGACGGGCCTGACGACGCTCAACAATGCCATGGTCCAGGCATATCGCATTCAACAGATCCGTGAACTGCTCGTGCCCAAGCTGCGCGAGATGCTCGACAATGGCTACTACAAGGAGGTCGCGCAGTGGACACTCAATTTGCAGCTGACTCACCAGTTTGATATGCTGGAATTGGCATTCCCATTGATTGCGCAGGAGAAACTGCCGCTGGCCGAAGAGTACCTGGATCAGGCGACGCATCAGCGTCTGCCGTTTGTTAAATTTCTCGACTCGCTCCTGCACAAGGACAAGTCCGTCATAGAGATGTGCGAGAGTACACTCAGGTACATTTTGTTGGTTCGGTGGTTCTTTCCTTGAGGTTGGCTTTTGTGAACCCAGCCACATTTTTAGAACATAATCCATCCTATACTTGATTCTCATGCCTTAATCTCTTGCAGTCGCTATAAAAATCTGAAGGTATCGCATCATGTGCTCAGCTATCGGCCCGTCTCAAAGATTGTGGCCCGGCTGGCCAAAAAATATGGCTTCGATGACACCATAACGCCCAACTACAAATTCACAAAGACCTGCAGCTACCTACATTACCTGTACCGCGAGTACGAAAAGTCGCGCATCAATATGGCCAGCTTCAGGGAGCTGGTGCGCGTGCATGCCTACGACCATGCTCTGCGCTTGGATTTTGTCGCCTATGTGGCGGCGGCTGCAGTCAATGGGCCACTGGAATCGGAGGCCATATACTGGTACAATGAATTTAAGCTGCGCCATGAGGATTGTCCGCCAGAAATTAAACCGCTAATCTCACAAAAGGTGGAGCCGCCGTGCCGTGCAGTAGAGCCGACGCCAACGGCCTGTGAAGTGTACCTGGGCATGGATCTGCCGGACGAGTGCCTTCTGATTGTGGACACGGCGGCCACATTCGAACGCATGCTGCAGCATTTGCAGCGCGAACAAATCATCTACATGGACTCGGAATGGATGCAGAATGTATGCGCACAGAATCAGCTCTGTTTGCTCCAAATAGCGACCACACACAATGTCTACCTAATTGATTGCCTGGCCAGCCGCCAGGCGCTGCACGAGGAGCACTGGCGTGCCCTGGGCGCCAACGTCTTCAACAATCCAAACATTCTCAAGGTGGGCTTCTCCATGCTTAACGATTTGTCGGTGCTGCAGCGTTCCCTGCCGCTCCAGCTGCGTCTGCATATGCCGCATCATTATCTGGATCTGCGCAACGTTTGGCTGGAGCTAAAGAAGCGACATGGCGTTGAGCTGCCCTACGGCAACGTGAATCGCGCCGGCGATGCACTCACCGATTTGTCCATGCTCTGCCTGGGCAAGAAGCTGAACAAGGCCAATCAGTGCTCCAACTGGGCGAATCGGCCGCTGCGACGCGAACAGATACTCTATGCAGGTGGGATGAAGTATTATATTAGAGCCCTGCATCGAGTAAACCGAAACCCGTTTCGGATTCTCGAGATGCTTGCGTTGCAATCGATCCAGAACGTTAGCTGGAAGAGTTGATTAACCTACGCAGGGCTCTATATTATATATATCTAAATATCCTAATTCTTGCCTCTCTTGCAGCTATTGATGCGCGCTGTTTACTGCTGATCTACGACTGCCTCATGAGCTGCGTGGCTGATATCAATGTGATCGTTGAAAAGTGCATTGCCAGCAACAATTTTCTGCGACGCGGCGGCAATAATGTGAAATAAGTGTGTGGCTAATCTCAAAGCACAGTCCGTCAAGTTGAACATGGAATGCGGCAACTATGCACTATGTTAAAGTTATGACAAGCGTGAAAGAGTATTTGAATTATATATATACATATATATATAGATTATATTACCCGGGTGTTTTTTCTTACATTTTTGTTATCAGCTTTCCTATCAGGCAGACAGTACCCGGCGTTGTCCGTTTTATGTTTCACATTTAAGAAATCAATTTGTTTCCGTCAATTTCCCACATTTGCAGGAAGGAAGGGTGGATTATGCGAAGAGTATTTTTAACAGCACCGATCGGATGACAAACACAAATTCCATACAACCTTATTTTGTGGCTTTCCCGCACAAGTGTGTAGAATTTCCGAGAATCGAGTCTTAATTTACAATTTCAGTCCCAGAGTTCTTTACGGCTTGGGTTGCACATTGGACATTTAGTTATCCAATTTTGCATTCCTCAGGAAACAGTTTATATATTTAGATAACAAAATAGCGCAGTACTTTGTTTAAAACTGTGCATGATGTGCAAATATAAAGCATAAGAAATACTGTTATCAAAATGTGGTGAAAAGCTATGAAATAAAATGACGTCAGATTGATAAGCTTGCCAGTCAAAAAATAGTGCAAATGCCAGGCATTGCCTTAAGTGAATGAGTGGGCATATGTGCTGTTCCAATCCCGGTCAAAGACATTCTCCAAATCGTTGCGTATGGTGCCTGTTAGGCCGGGTTGTGTGTCCTTTAGGACCAGGCCAATGCCAGCAGTGTCTGTGAAATAATCACCAGACCAATTGGAGGTGCCGATATACGCGACTCTGTCAGTTACCATATACTTGTTGTGATTGACG